TGTAGCTTGGAACTAGTATATATAATACTGCATTTGCAAAGGCTGCTGCCCTATTCCTATTCAAAATAGCTTTTACTATTGATAACAATAGAATAGACCAGTATACAACTCATATTAAAATTCCTATCAAGTATCAAAATTTTACGATTTTATTCTTTTTATGATATTTTTTATGAAGACGTGGTTTTTCATCATCAGAATGGACTTCTGCATCTGCACTTGTATACTTTGATTTTTGCAAAGAATTGATCGTACTTTTTACTTTCACATTTCCATCTGGATAAAATAAAATAAAATAAGTTAATAAGTTTATGTGATTCCTAAGGACTTTTCTAGCCTAACAATCAGTCAATAAGCATTTTATCATATGACCCTCACAAAAAGAAAAGAATAAAATAAAAAGAAAGAAATAGTAAATAAACACTGAAAAATAGAAAGCACGCCGATTGGAGCAGGGCCGTATGAATTCATAYGGCCCTGCTCACTCAAAGCCGTACCGCCCTGCTCACGTCATTTTCCAGAAGGTTTTATGATACAATTATACTGTATATTAAAATTTTTCCCCAAGGTATTGTATGTGTGTATACACACCTTTTTGTCTAGACTTGGTTGCCTCAGGACAGTCTCTTTTAAGGTGTTCAACAGAACCACAAATATTACAACCACCTCCTGAAAAAAACAAAAACAATCCCAATAAAATTCACAAATTTGTCATTTACATAAATGTATGATCATCAAAATGTAAAACCAGTGAACAAATTTCTTGAACGTATTATTTAATTTACCAAAACAGCCTAAATCAATTGTGATTTAAAGGTTTTCATATGCCAGGTTGATGAGTCAACTTTATTTTCACAATACCAATCCAACCTACAAAAACCTTTATGACATTATTTTTTTAATTTTACCTTTTTTAGACATTGAAAAAATAGGTAATCAAAATATCAAAAATTAGAGTCTGAAGAATACTAAATTTACTATAGCTGGGACAGAAGTTTAATAATCTGTAATGATTATTGCTATGCATCAATCTAAAAGAAATATTAATCGTACTCGCCTTTAGGGTACAGTCCTTTAGGATTGTCTGGACATCCACTAGATAAGTGACCAATTTCTCCACAAATAAAACATTTTGCAAATGGGAAAGAATTACCATCTGAAGATAAAATAATAAAATCACTGTTAGTGAAAATATTATTAAAGGCTAGCTAAACTTAGAAACACTGGGATTGCTAATACTGATATATTGTCGGGGTGCAACCACATCACCCAAAATTCTGAGTGAAGCACAATAACAGCAAAAACCATTTCTTGAAAATATATTTAGAGGGGACTAGGTCACTGTGATCCCTGTTTTGTGTGTTTTCAGTGAATAGTGGCCCAGGGTAAGAAAATTTGTTGATGTTACATGTAGTAGGGAGTGATTTCCTAAAGGGAAATCCTGGATACTCACCTGAATACATCACATATTAAGTGTTTACTAAACATGTACAAGTACCTTTTTCAGCAGTGTCCTTCTGTTTACAGTTTTTAGTAGTGTGATCAGAAGATCCACACTTATAACACACACCAATCCCAGTCCCTTCTTGATTCATTTGTGGACATTCTGCTGCCAGGTGACCAAGTTGTCGACAATGAAAGCACGTAATACCCTTTGAAAACAAGTTTATTATAAGATTTGACTATTAAATCAACCTCTTTTTTAAAACAAATGGTACAATATCGTATTGTATGTACAGTTCAAAGTGAACWCGCCTATGGACTGACTTGCCTACGCAAACTTGCCTACTTATAAAATCGAGTTGATCCATAGGTGAGTTCCCTGTAATTCAGTGGACAACTTGATTTTATATGTAGATGAGTCAGTCTGTAGGCGAGTTTACTGGTGACTGCTACACTCCCCTGAAAATAGTTTTGACAGTTAATTCATCAAAAATGAAATAAAATTAGCCTCTCTCCATGTCTGTACATGCATTATTGGAGATATATAACATTTAGACTTGATAAATTAGAGCAATAGTAATAATTATAGTATTTACATAGAAATTAAGTCTTACTGTATGTGCCACTTGGCACAAAGCAGATACATGACATGTAGGTGTCACATAGAGATTAATCAACTTGAACTAAATTAATGGCTTCTGGTAGTTGTAGTTAATGAATTACAGTGTACTTCTTTTTTTTTGCAGGTGCAATTCATTAAAATTTAATAAAAATGACATTAAGAGTAAATGTCATTTCCAGCCACGAATTAAATGATTTGATTAAGTACCTTTCTCTTAGCCCTTCGCYGTCTTCTTGCTTCTCTTTGTTTTTCAAGCTTCTCTTGCTTGTGTAAACTGAAGCATTTCACTTTCTTGCCTTGACCCTCATTACTCTTTGTGTTGTCTTTTAAAGTGTCTTTTGTAATTTTCTTTTCTGCATCTTTAAGGAGAAACTTTTCTTTCTTTTTCTTTTTTCCAGTTTTTGAGTCTGATGCATCTGAATCACTTATCTTCTGTTTCTTAGGAGTTGAGACAGGCTCATCTGAATGTGTGTCTTCAGTTTCAAGGTTTCGTTTCTTTAATTTTTTCTTCTTTTTCTTGCTCTCTGGATTACAATTATCATCTGGTTTTCCCAGTTCATCATCGTTAGGCTCATCTGAATGTGTGTCTTGAGTTTCAAGGTTTTGTTTCTTCAATTTTTTCTTCCTTTTCTTGCTCTCTGAATAACAATCATCATCTGGCTTTTGCTGTTCATCATTGGTTGTCWCATTTTGCTGAGCTACAAATACAATAAAGACAATTAATACCTTAAAGAAGTAAGCATTTTATTGAGAAATTTTTTTATGGAGGGATGGGTGGTAATTTCATTGTATGATAGAACTCTGCTAATTATAGAAAAAAATTAAGTCAATTCTACTTTGTACTGTACCTACAGGCATTTCATATTTTAAAGCCAATTTTGTTTTCTCTGCCCTTCTTGTTTAATACCCTCTCTATTTATTATCTCTAAATAAATGAGACAGGGTAACACTTTTACAGCTGATAATATCTCAAGGGATTTCTCAGTCACATGGTTGCACTCTAAGAATACTAAGCTTTTTAAATTTAAGAGCTTACATGTATAAAGATCACTATTAAAGTGTACCGCATGTGATAAAATGATAAGCTCAATAGCTTAATGAAGTCTAGCATAATCTTAGAATTACAATCTCAAGACAAATATCCGTCATTTTAAAGCGAACATTTACAAACATATATGCAAAAATTTATAACCATGTGCAGAATAAAAACTTGTAGAATTAATGTTCCAAACCTTGTTGTTGCTGAGATAGTTCTTCCCATGATGACGCCTCGAGGTATTTTTTCTTCGACATTCGCGCAAAACGAGTCATTTTTATCTAAAAACCTTGTAAAATTTTCCAAACAAGAAGAGTCGAAGAATCAAAGTTAAAATAAATCCGCCATTTTGTTGCGCTGTGATGCTTGCGCATTCGTAAGATTGAAATCTGCTGATGGAAGATATTGCGGGCGCGTAATAGTTTCGTGACGCGTTACATCGTTTCATAACACTGGAATAAGATGGTGGACCAAGAGGGTCAAAAATGGAGAGCGAATTAAACGAGGACAAATTTTACTACGTCTACAGCTCTGATCTTGATACTAACCTTGAAATCAAAATGTAAGTGTATCATTCAATATCTGCTTCTTTTGGTTGTTATTTCGAAGCATTCAGTATTTTTTTACAAGTAAAGATATTCAGTGAATCAAGGCATTGCCAGACCGGATGCACCTGACATTTTGAAGCCAGCTGGATATTTTGACGTTTCTTTCTGTTCAAGATTAGCTTTTGACATGCTCTGAATTATCTTGAAATTAGAAATTTTCTTTTTTTATATAATTATTACTGAAATAAAACGTAATTAATTTGGTTTGTCCACACAAAACTACCCAGATACTTCAACTGCAAGTCACTATAATTTGTACATTGTATTATTCAAGCTGAGTTTTTTTGATTGTTACAGTAGTCAGGATTATGATATAGTTAACCTTCTTTTTGAAGTATTGAAATCCTCTTATTCAAGGTAGTTCCAGATGAATTCTTTCCACTTGTCTTTCCTTTGATATGAGTGCTTTTCCTGAGGAATTTCAATTTGGTTTCTTTCTTAGTATATTTTGATTTGATTGAATTGTAAATGCTAAAGGATTTAATGTTAAAATTATGCTATTCCTCTTACATTTTATTTGAATTTTTTTCGTCCAATAATGAATCGGAATTTGGTTTTATTTACTTTAGAGTAAATTTCTGTTTTATTACATTTTGATTTAATTATAAAGAATTAGAAAAAAAATATTCTATGGGAATCAGTGTTATTATCAATACTCCATTTTATAGTTCTATTCAGTGACCATGAATAATACCTGTAGTTTCAAGCAGAGGCTGGAGTTGCCAAGCATGATACATGTTAACTGTAGTTTTGCTATTTGGAAACTCCAACCTCGACCTAGAACTATTTTTCTGGTCACTGAACCAAAGTATGAAGTGGAGTATTATGCAGCCTAGGTTAAAAAGAAAGCAAWTTATCATTCAATAGTTGAACAATTYGATATAAATAAATTCTACTTGATTCGGTTTTTTTTGCCCAATCTTTATAGATGCAGACACTTTTTTACTTGATTAATACTTTATACCATTATTCTGTTTTTAGATGTACACTAGAAGGCAAGAGAGACAGAAAAGGATACAAAGAACTCCTTGATGACCCACTCCTAAGGTATTCAGGGTTGTATAACAGGTAAGGTACCAACAGAAAAAAACCCCAAGAATGGTGGATATTATATCATAAATCATCTATTAATGAARCTGTCCTCTCTATTAAGCCCTGGGCCCTTTCTAATAAGGCCCCTCTCTATTAAGCCCCAGGCCCTCTCTAATGAGGCTTCTCTCTATTAAGCCCCGGGCCCTCTCTAATAAGGCCCCTCTCTATTAAGCCCCGGGCCCTCTCTAATAATCCCCCTCTCTATTAAGCCTGTTGTATAATGAAAGTAAATTGACAGATGAGTGCCATGTATGTGAATTAGGCTTTATTTGACTTAAATACAGTATATGCCTCTGGCCTGACCAATGACCTGATTATCAAGGGGAGTTGTTTATTTCAGGTACCTTTGAGTGGAAGGGGGTGCTTATTAGAGAGACCTTTGGCTCTGTTCTGTTCTTTCATTGGTTGACACTAAGTCTTGTTATGTATATTGTTTTTCTATCATGATTTTCTGCTGCTTCATGACTTACTGTACCTGTAACATAGACCAAATTCAATTCAATTCGATGTGAGGCTTAAGTTGTGAACAAAGGGATCTGGTGTGACTCAAAGTAATCTGGCGTGATTCAAAAGTCACGAATCATGCCAGATTCCTTTGTTCACAACTTAAGCCTCACATCGGTGCGAGTTTTGAATTTGGTCTATAAGAGATCATTCCATCTCCTGTACATACAATTATTATTTAATATATGATCCCTTGCATGATTTAAATAATAATGTTTCTTTTTTGTAGTACTTGTTCTGATCTGTATGTCACATGCAGAGTGTACGCTGATGGCCAGCCACTCTCTTTACCAACCAGCACTTCATATAGACCATTTAACTTCAGATGGAAGTAAGGTTTTAAGAAAACTGATAGTAATAAATTGAAGTCAGGGGCTGTCACATTCAATAACTTTTGTACTAATTATTTAAACCTGGAACACAGGGTGTCATAAAGATAAGACCAGCCCTCTCCTGTAAATCCAAAATTTTCTCCGATAGTGGTCCCTGATGTTGATTTACACTTTGTTTTATGTAAATTGTTATATTTGTGTTTTATTGCATTTGACTTGCAGAATATAGCTTTACAAAACCATGTATTGTGTACTGTAGTTCAGAAGTTATCCATAATCCCCCACCCTCCCCCAGAAGAATTTGAAATTTCCAAAGGGTAGGTGGGTCTGATAACAAACAAAATGTCAGAGTTTGTATATAAGAAAATTGACATTCCTCTGTTGAGGGTGGGGGGGGGGGGGTATGGATAAGGGTGGCATGGTGCATGCTGCTATGTCACTGTCTTTCACTGCTGTGTAGTTCCTGCCTGAGGTCGCAGTTTGATTTCCTGCCTAGCCAGTTTGTTCTCTCCCTTGCCACGGCAGTTTTTCTCCAGTTTCTCTGGTTTTCCTCTCAATGTTATTGTACAAAACCAACAATTTAGTTGGGTATTGTAATAATTGTGAATGTAATGGTAGTGCATGTAGTGGAAGTGAACCTTACACAATTCCAAAAAGAACCTCTTACTGGGTAAGATGGTTATAAAATATTATATAATACAGTAGCTCTTCTCATTTGTTGTTAGCTGGAATGAGTGGCTTAAATTACCAATCAAGTATCCTGACCTCCCCCGTAATGCTCAGTTGGCATTCACTATCTGGGATATCTATGGTCCAAGGAAAGCATTACCGGTAGGGGGTACCACAGTTTCTCTGTTTGGGAAGTATGGGTAAGCTAGAATGTCATATACTACAGCTGTATTAGAAGGATGTGATGATTGAAATGCAAATCAACTTTATATTTAGAAAGGACTCTCACATGACATATTGACACATGACAGTCACGACTGATAAACTAGAGAAAAGTCAGAACCCCTTTCAATGAAAATYACTAAACTGTGGAAAAGGCCCAAGTTTTCTAATGACAGCCATGCCCACTTTTTTGTGATTGCCCCACCTATTCATTGATAAATTTCCAACATTCCATGCCTAGTCTTTAGTAATGCTGAAAATTTGATCACATACATGTGCAATGATTTGAATTTATCAATGTAAATTAAGGGCAGGGCAATCACAAAAGTGCAYGTGGCTATCATGAGACAGGGCCTATTCCACAGTTCAGTGATTTTCATCGTAAAATATATATAATTTACAGAAAATATAATACAGTATATCTTAAGACCCTGAGTATTGGTTTGCTAAGCCAGTAGCCTAGTGCCCAACCAACTGTGCCTACCAAGAGGCAGTAAAGATGGTTACGGTTTGGTAACACTTTACAATTTATGTTTTCCCCTTATTAAACCCTTAACCAATTGAAATGAAATGCTGCTTATCCTGAAGCTTGTTTACTGGGCAAAAGAAGAAATAGACAGCAATTTAACATATCAACTAAAAATTTTGGATAATGTTGATACAATATTCCCCTTCACAGTTCCTGGCCCCATCTTGAAAGGTAGCTGTGCCTTTGCATCAAAGCCAGATGAATGGTGAGCTTACACTGATAGAGACATGTGAATAATAGTCCAAGTTGTTAAAAAAGGTCTCTACCATTCCAAGCTCATTGATAGTCTTGATTCAATGCAAAGGAACAGCTACCTTTCAAGATGGCGCAGGGAACTGTAAAAGGGACCATCATAGTGATAGCAGATAAGGATTAATAATTCCAATGTCTCTGGGTTATCTTCATCAGGACACTGCGACATGGCATGCATGATCTTAAGGTGTGGTCAGGTATTGAGGCCGATGGACACATGCCAACAACAACACCTGGAAAAACAACTTCTAGTGAAGACCAGATGAACAGGCTTGCAAAGGTCTTCAGTTTTTATAAATACAAATCTAGAGAACTCTTCCTTCTAGATCACTTACTTTTATCTTAACCATGCAAATAGGATATGAATGAAGCAGGTTTACCAAAATGAACACCAGAAATGAAAAAGAAAACTTTTTCATATTCAGAGTAAAAATTGCTACGGAGTTATAAATATTTGAAACGTCAAAAGAAATCACACTATTATCAATGACTTTACCAACATTTATTTTAGGTGTGTCAAAATGATCACCAGAAATGAAATAGAAAACTCCTTCATGTTCATGTTCTATTATCTGATATTATAACTGTCTAAAAGAAAAATTGAATAAATAATTAAGTTTAGATTAGGATACGGTAATATGCCATAGTTACTCATGTTGGATAGTCAGAGACAATTGCTATCTCTAATATAAGAAATAAGGGCATCTAATATTTAAAGACATTTTTTCTACTGATTTTTAGATTTTATGACTGAGTTTGGACATTACTAGGTTATATTTCTTTATTATTACTATTRGTAGTATTAGTTTAAATGTAAGGCACTTTTGAGCTATAACTAAAAAGCGCTATATTGAATTATTATTATTAATTATTATAGAGGGAAAATTGCTACAGAGTTACAAACATTTGAAACATGTCAAAAGAAATCACACTATCATGATTTTACAAACATTTATTTTAGATCAATATATTAAGCATATTTGTGTTATGATTAATAACCAAGACAGATAAACCTTTTGGACCACACCTGTTTCCATGGGGTGTACAAGAAGGAGGGGGGGGGGGGAGATATAATTATTATTGAATTGCCATATCATACTAATATTGTATTTTCTTGTTGTACAGTTGAGTAAGAAGCATCATAAAGGACAAATGCAAAAAGTAGACTGGCTGGATAGACTAACGTTCAGGGAAATTGAGATGATTAATGAGGTAAAAGCTAAATGATATACAGCTTTGTGCCATATTTATTTCTGGGTCTACCTTTTCAAGCAAAAATTTTTATCAGTGATTCAGCCTCTACCTTAAAACCTTTCAGAATTTGTCAACTTATCTTGTAATGAGGAAAAAGTCAGAAAAGTCTTTATACAGTAAAGAATTTTGGAGACGTAAAGCGTTTTCCATGCAATTTACCTCAAACTTCAAAGCTCTATAGAAAAAAGAAACGATAACAGACTAAATCAATTTTTGAAAATGCACATTTTTTTTGTAAAAATGTACTTACTACTTATGTCTTTTTTTTTGCCACAGAAAGAAAAAAGAAATTCTAATTTCATGTACTTGATGGTCAAGTTCCCAAGAATCCATTACGATGGCATGGACTATAATGTTGTCTACTTTGAGAAGGTAGGATAAGATTGAAGTGAAGAAATAGAAAACGCGCGTGCGTGCGTATTGTGTGATGTCATAAAGCACGCGGGAGTTGGCAGAAAACGAGAGAAGTGTTAGGAGAAGCACGACGTGTAGCGGAGTGCTTCTCGACACTTCTCGAGTGTTCTGCCAATCCCCAAGTATTTTATGACTGAACACAGCACAGCAAGCAAGTTTTTTGTTTCTTTTATAAAATACAAATTACAATAATAGATAGGAATGACGCGACGGAAAGTGCGCGCGAGTGCAATGTGCTCTCATAAATCACGCGCTCCAAACCAATCAGAACGCGACTTTCATAACAGTTATTTTATAAAGAAAAATGGTCATGCTAGACCTATCCTGGATTCCAGAGGGTTTGTTTTCGTGGGGGAATTTTTGAGAATAATTATATCTGGTATAAATTTGAAGGATTAACACTTTCGTAAGATAGTCTGAATTTGCCTTTTCGAAGTAATTTTGTTCAAACAAAAACTGGTATACGACTTCGTGGTGCAAAACACGAATGTGAGAATGAAATCAATCCCATTATCCTTTGCTCCATGAGGTCGTTATCAGCCTTCCTTTGAACCTCGAAAAGGTAAACTGTCAACTCCTTCCTTTTGAACTTGTCTTCCTTTATTAGAAAAACTATGATTGTTTCATTCCTTGAGTTTTCTAACCGTGCGAGCAGAAAAGTGTTCATTCTTCGTGACTTCTTTTCTCTGACTGAATCAGAGAAGAGAGTGTTTCTTCTAGGGGTATTGTGAGGCGTAATGCTCTGCATGACACGATGTCTAATAGATGTCATGTAGTGGTTTTAGGTTTTCTCTTCTGTGTTTGTAGTCTCCTATATAGCCGCTATTAGTGTCGTCTAGCAATTTGGCCAATCGGGRTCAGGGACTGAGCCACTCTGTAAAAACACCGTTATATTCCCATTCTATTAATTACTGTATGCGAATTAAAAAAATCATAAAGTCACAGACAGGTTTCTAAATACCAAAAACAAAAAAGCGATTCGTCCAATTAATGAGAGACTTCATATAGATTTTCTTGGCTTAAATTCAGCACCGAATTCGGTGAATAATAACGATTGAATTATTCTTTYTGCCGTTCAACAATTCACAGAAACCTGACAGATACTCAGTCCTCTACTAGGAGATTGTGAAACATCACTGAAAATGAAATAAAATAAATTAAAAGTGAAAAACCAATGCCAAGTAATTTTTAAATTATTACGGGATAACTAATTAAGCATCATTATTATTATTCTGTCAGATATTCTGACTTCCTGTTAATAAAGATGTTATCTGTTCARCAACTTCATTTTTTATTCATCTTATTTTATTTTCATTTATCCTATTTCACTTTTTAAGTTGAGAGCGTATTTCTTTTTTATTTCATTTCTTTGAGCGACACTTAATTCTCGTAAAAATATTTGTACTTTTACCGCAATATCTTTTGAAATGACTTTCATAGTCGTTACGACAAACTACAATTGCGTTACCTAATTAAATTGCTACGACCCTACAATTAGAACTGTGTCGTTATCGTTCTTCGAAGTACTAAGTCTAAGTTGCTCTTATTGCGGGAAAATATCAACATTTCGAGTTTAATGTCAGGAAGACGAAAGAGTGTGAGAAAGTAGAATTTTTTTGCCCATGTGCCGTGAGCAGCGTTATGGGATTGAGTTGTATTATACAAGCTATAAATAAGAAAGACGATGACCTCGAACCTCTCTTACAGGTACGAAGAATAATCCTTTAGAAATCTGAGGGATAATTGACTACTATGCTGGCATGTTTTATTGACAATGGCATATTTGATAGGATATCATTTTATTATAATGGATGATCCCTTATACTAAATCATCAGGCTTCTTAACTATTTGGCCTTTCAGTTAAAATTCATTTGTTACGGATATGTTGAAGGATATGTTCTATTTTGGCGATAATACTAAAGATAAATATATTCAAAAACAAAAATGTCTAACCGGTTTTTAGCAGGGTTATACTGAAAACAGACCGATTATGAATATTTATCTCGTAATGCTTTTCCGTTTTCAAGAATGGGAAAATAGGCAATGAAAATTGCCAGTTTTGAGAGGGGAAAAGTTTGGAATTGTTTTTGTCGGATGTTGTTTTGTTCGTTCATCAAACTCAGTCTTACATGACAGTTTTTTTCCACGTATATCACTCAGCCTTCCCACACTTTTATCACAGCTGTTTCGGATTTTATGCATAAATATGAACTGAATGTAAAGTCAACTGAATTTCCTACATTGGCTAAAACCTAATTTAATCGTTGACTCCTAACTTTAAATGCTTTAGGGACAATGCTGTCTTGGATGTTTTTCGATATCCTAGACAGTCTACTAGGAAAGAAACTGAACTGGTGCTCGAATTCATGTTCTGAAGAAATCTTAAATGTTTAATAAAGTGATGTGTGGTTTATTCTTGCGGTCTTGTTCTTAGTCCGATCTTCTAGTGGTTTTTTTTCTGGCTTTAGATTCAATCGMTAACGGCAAAGAGATTTCCCGATATGCATTGTTGGCGTCACATAAAGCGGAAGTAGAGACTTGATTGCTCTTCTGCTGTAGTTTACTCAGTGTTTTTGTTTTCTTGTAGGACGCTGATAACGTGGATTATTTTTGCACTCAACCGGATGTAGTAAGACTCTCCGATCCTGAAACACTCTTGGTGAGTACGCCTAGTCGCCTGTGCATATACAGTCAATTCAAAAAACGTCGTCGTCGACCGGCTCAAGCCTACGCGACTGGACCGAAAGGAATATGGGTAAAAATCACTGAAGCGGTTTAAATATTCGTTCTGAATAAATTGTGCCCGCTAGTAATAAGATAATAAAGGCAAGAAACAATCCATCAAATGCATGTCTTCGGGTTTAGGGAAAGAAAAACAAAGTACTTATGATTCAGTTCACAATTTCGAATATATGAAGGCATTTAAAAAACGTCTCCTTCAACACTTCCCGCTCGCTTACGAAAAATCGTGCTGTAAACAAGGCGTAACTAGTCAGATAAAATTTTGGAGTCAACTCGGCTTCAATGATTACTACCCAGAGTTCCTTTCGGTCCAGGCGCGTAGGCTTGAGTTGGTCGACGACAACATTATTTGAATTGACTGTATACACACACGCACACGCACACGCACACGCACACGCACACGCACACAACACACACACACACACACACACACACACACATACACATTGATCAGTTGGTCATCGTCCATTATTCTTATCAGTTCTGCCGTGGTTATGTTTTCAGGAAAATTTAGTGGAAATCAAGCACCACAAGCTTGTTCGTAGCATACGGAGTGGAACTGTATCACGTGACCTCAAGCCTAACGCCAAGATTAGAGACCAACTAACGGTATACTTGCACACCTAGTTTAAATCTTTTATCTTTTTGTGCACAAAAAATGTACACAAAACATCAAGACGACACTTTGGGATTTGACCAACCAGTACCACTTATTCTTTGTTTTCACTCTTTTCCCCTGTTATTACAGCAAATCGTTAGCTATCCGCCGACTAAAGTCCTGACATCAGAAGAAAAAGACCTGGTGTGGCAGTTCAGATTTTATCTCACCAACCAGAAAAAGGTATTTTATCGGTGGTGTCAAAAGACCATGGTCTCTTGGTCGTATTTATCTTTATAGTGGTTCTGCAATTTCAAGAGCCACAGCGGTCATGTTGGATGGCAGAACAATAAAGTCCCTTTTATTGCAGGGATGGTTTTCTTTCTCATGTAAAACGATTGTATCGTTCTGCCATCCATTATGGCATAAACCTCTATTTATGTCATTAGACTAGTAGATTTCGGCTTCAAACGTCACAATACATGGCACTCCCACGGTACGGCATGCCCAAGATCCCCTTCGTCGCGGTTAACTATAAGACCACGTGATCAATGCTTACATGATCAAAATGCTCGAATACTACACCGTTACGCTCACGTCCCGTTACGTTTACTGGGCAAAAGAGGTGGCCGCGACGTTGGTTGATGCAACGAAAGAAAGAAAATTCCAAGACCTTTAGCTTTGGTCATCATGGCGACTGACGTCACAACTGCCGAGTAATTACAGAAGAACTAAAATTCTAATGTTTGTTTTTCTATTCCAGGCTTTAACAAAATTTCTAAAATGTGTGGACTGGAGCGAACCACAAGAAGCGAAACAGGTTATACATTATATGAAACGTTGTAAAAGACCTGATGCGCATAAACGATGTAAACTGACCATTAGCCCGACAATTACCCGACCATTATGTCGTTTACACAGAAGTACACCAGTAAATTACTCATTCTATACGGAATTTTAGGATTAGGTGCTTGTCTTCAAGAGCCAAAAAACCAACACGCTTTAATGTGGCTTTAGTAGGACGTAGAATGATTACATCATTCGACTACCGCTATACCAGAATGCACCGCGAATTCCCATTTTTAATAATAGAGATTTTAATACACTCAACAAAATTACTCGATTCTTATTGGAGAAGAGGAGTACAATTAAATCCCAAATTGTACTCTGTAGAGTCCAATAAAAATGCTCAATTTTGTTGAGCGTATTTCGAACAAAAAATCGCACAATCTTCTTGTACAATTTGGAATATGTAGATACTCGTGATGTTTTGAAATTTCTCAAATTGAACTCGTCTAAAGGCTCGTCCAATTTTAAAAAAACTTTCAAGACATCACTCGTACATATAAATTCCGAATTGTACTCGAGATCGTGCGATTGGTATACTTAATTACAAAATTAATATTCTATTCTGCGTGTTTTGTTCATATTTTTTAAGGCTTTGGAGTTACTGGACAAGTGGAACCCAATGGACGTTGAAGATGCGTTAGAATTACTCTCATCTCAATTCACTAACAGAGCTGTCAGGCAGTACGCAGTGTCCAGACTAAAGGAAGCTCTTAATGAGGTAATGAAGTTCAAAAGAAGATAAGGCACCACTTACTATTGAGGTCTTTACTCTGAACTATCAATTAATAAGCAATGTTTAAAAAAGTTACATCTACGTGCAGCGGTAATGCTAATCTCTTTCTCAACAATACAAGCTGTTTTTCAGCGAAATATTCAAAAATTCGTGTGGCTGTCTGCAACTGTTTTTTGTTGTTTTGTCCTTCTCGATCCCATGTTCTGTACCATGATCTCTTTTCTTAGTGTTTACTAAATGTCTTCTTTAGGTATTGATTGTTGTCTCGTTTGCTTTATTCACTTAAAGGATTTATTGCTATACCTTTTGCAACTCGTGCAAGCTCTACGGTACGAGAATATCAAAGAGCACGATATCAACGATCCTGTTGTGAATGAAGACTCACTTTTAACTAACCCATCGGAAAACCAAGAACACGACAATAATGGTATGTTAATGAAAACTAATCATTGCGGAGTAGAAGACGTCATGTCCCGGCTGCATAAAGCTATCTTAATATGAGAGCCCCAATATGATAGCCCCTTTCACAGTTCCCGGCGCCATTTTGAAAGGTAGCCATGCCTTTGCTTCTAAGCAAGACGAACGGTGGATTTTAATGACAGAGACTTTTTTAAATATTCTTAGGGCGATTATTCACGTGTCTTTATTATTGCAAAGGCACGGCTACCTTTCAAGATGGCGCCGAGAACGGTAGTACGTTTATGTTCTAGAAATAATAGAACGACAATAGAAGACAAGACAATGCATACTATATATAACAATACACTACTATACATTATAAAATAACTGTTATGAATCTCACGTTCTGATTGGTTGGATGCGCGTGTGCTTTATGAGAGCACACAGCACGCGCGCGCACTTTCAATTTCGTCATTCCTGTAATTTATATTTTATAAAAGAAATAAAAAACTTGCTTGCTGTGCTGTGTGGAGTTATAAAGCACTTAGGGATTGGCAGAACACTCCAGAAGTGTCGAGAAGCACTCCGCTACGCGTCGTGCTTCTCCTAACACTTCTCTCGTGTTCTGCCAACCCCCGCGAGCTTTATAACTGCACCACGCGCGTTTTCTATTTCTTTCTTTCTTTTCTAATATATGCATTGTATTCCTCTAGGATAACATGAATTTATTACCCAGAGAACTGCGAAAGGGACTATTATTGTTTCAAGACAAAAGACCTTTGTACGAAAACAATACTTACGGTTGTTTTTTATCTTAGAGAGCTTTAAGGTATTAGGATACGAAAAATGACGAATTGCCCGAAAAAAATTTTTCTTTTTAATTTTGTAATTTTAAACTTTTATCTTTCATATGTTTGTGAAATTTCTTGCAGTTTTTGATTGGAAAAGCCAAAATTTTGAGAAAAATCGAAATCGTGACTTTATGACATCTGTCATGCTCCTTTGTCATTGTAAAAAGATCCTACATTGCGATCGTCTAGAACACCAGATAATTTGACAAGTGATGACAAAATGGAAGGCACAAGGTGTTTTGGCCAACACCATCGTGGCTCCCTGCAGCTTCCGGCTCCAAACAAAGAAATGCGTTTTTCTCGAATCTTTTTTGCCGCTAAAACCTCAACTTCAAAAAGCTAAAAGGCCCTTGGATTTCATTCGATTTTTTTAAAATTTGGAGAGTTTATAAAGTAACTCATGATCCAAAAAAGGGTGTCTCCGAATTTTGAAATTTAATTTCTTTCCAAAGTTATGACGCTTTTTACTCTAAACAACACTCCAAAAGCGATCGCTGAACTTTGAT